GTTACAAAGTCTCTTACAAACAAACTTGAAAAGCATCTCATCAACTTCACTCAGAGGAATCAGTTATGTAACAGCCTGTATGGAGATACAGAGTATCTCTGGGAAAGAAAACACCACAATAGTTGACATTCTTGTTACATAGAACGATTACACAACATGACACACTATTGTGATCCAATATTTCCTCCATGTATCACCTGAAAGACCTGACAAATAACCTCCAGGGTGTTGCTGTTTAATAATTTTTGATAAAATTTCAAACTTTTGTTTTTCATTCTTGATTTTATTTTATCATCAAAACAAGACAGACCTTGGATATTCTACTGTCTTACAAGTCCTATGACAAATCAGTCTTTACTGCCAATTCAAGTACTTAATTTCAACAGTAAAATATATCCATTTCTGTACGGAGTCTTTTCAGTCGGTCATCCTCAGTTAATGGTTGGGAGGGGTTGTAGAAACATATATTAAGCTGCTCGTGCTAATCACATTTCTACAATAGTTATTTATGGAATGTGTTTTGAACTGCCTCCAGTTAATCCTAAATTTGGTGATTTTCCTGTATCTTTTTCATGTGTGTGTGAATGTGTGTGTACACATGCAGGAACAAAGTTTTCATTATTGTTATGCAAGACTTCTCCGAATGAGGAATTCCCTGATATGTTATCAGAGTACATTATGTTTTTTTTAGGGAAAACAGGCACCAGACTGACTCAGCTGTAGACAGCAGGTCTCATTTATTCAGGCGTGGGCAATAACTAGTCATTACAACTAATCTGGTTCTAATCAACTATTATGAGCACAGTGAGTTCCATGTACCACTTTGAGTATATATTTTGAAATGACATATTCTAGTACAACGCGAGTCGATGTCAAGGCAGTATTGCAATTAAATGCATCTAAGGTAGGAATTACACAGTTCCCACAGTTGTTGCCGTTATGATAAAATAAGGAGGATTTTTCTTTTAAAGTCACCGTCCACTCAAAAATGTGTTTTGCTTATCGTTACTCTACTAGTTCATTCCCTGTATTTAAATGTTGTACCCTCCACAGCACTAATTCTACTTTTTTCAGTCTCTTGTGTGTCATTTCACTTCTTAGATCCAGATTAATCTCACCATTTCTCAGCATCCGTTACTGCTGGACTTGTGATTTAACTCTTTTATTGAGGCTTTTGTAGTGTTGTGCTGTAATTGTCTTATTTAGATTTGCAGTCGTTGCTGTTTGGCATTTTTCCTGCATGCAGGTTAGTCGTCTTAGAGAGCCAGCACTCACTCTGAATGAAAACCGAGGGAACACTGAAATCACTTGATAAATGAGCGTCTGTTATCTCAACAGGTCAACGGCCAGGATTAGGAGAGGATGTGCAGAGAGGAGAGGGTGGACATTGTTTGCTAAACATTTTCCTCTTAAACTGACAGACAGGATGTATTCCCAGAAAAGACAAAGCTTAAATATACACATATATAATATTACACACCAATAATAAAAGCAAAGCATAGTCATTAATGACTGCACACTCAATGGCCACTCTCCACTCCTGATACATAGAAATCATTTTCCACCCATATAGATCACAGTGGGATTCTTATTTTACACGTCCCATCCACAAATTTTTGTGAGCATTAAAATAATCTGAGTTTTCAAATGTGGACCAGATTATTTATCTAAAACACAATTTCTGTAACTAGATCAGACAAATCTACTGGCTTTTCTGGTGTCTTGCAACAAAAATACAGGTGCACAAACAAATCACTGCATACAAAGAACATAATTTAGCTGTGACTGGAATTAAAGAGGAAAAACACCAACTGCAAAGACTACGTTCTTCTCCTTCCCATACGACTCTGCTGCCTCCAAGTGGCCACTCCAGTTACTGTAACATTTCTGGCCTTGTGCCACAGACTGTGTTGTTTTTCAGGTTAACTGATTTCTGAATTCTGGCTTTCACAAATTGCAGTTGCGTTTTTCTACTACCATTGTCTCCTGAGAAGTGATATGGTCAGTAGAAAAAAAAAAAGGAAAAGAAAACAGTGATTCTAAGGTGAATGCAACATTATGTGATTTTGCCAACTGTCAGTTACCTTAGCTGCTAAACTGGCCAACTATCTGGATAACATATAACTTCTTCAATAACATTAGCTGCTAAGTTTAGCCTCCAACAATCTAATGTCAAGGGAAAAGGACAGAGTGAAAATAATATTAGCTGCTACTTCTGGCATCACAAATTCCATTTTGGTTTGATATGAAACTGTGACAGCTCTGTTACCTTTCAGCATTGCCTCCTAAGTAGTAAGTGATATGGTCAAATTAAAAAAATTGACAATACAATGATTCTTAAGTGAATGCAACATGATTCACTGTTAGTAACCTTAGCTGCCAAGTTGGCCATTAATTATGTCACTTAATGTCAAGGGAAAAAGACAAATTCAAAATAACATTAGCTGCTAATTCTGGCCACCAAATTCAATATTGATTGGAAATGAAACAATGACAGTTGGTTTAACTTCCACCATTGTCTCCTAAAACTTAAGTAGTATGGTAAATAAATATTACAACATAATGATTCTAAAGTGAAGGTAATATGATTCACTGTGAGTAACTTTTGCTGCTAAATTGATTAATTAATTATACTATCTGGATAAAGTATAATGCTTCAATAACATTAGCTGCTAACTTTGGCCAGCACAACTTTAATGTTTAGACAAAACATGTCATTAGAGCAGCATGAGCAGCAATATAACACTAAGATAAACATGAAAAAAGTCTCATCAGTTTTAAAGTTTAACCAATAAACTGGGGGTTTTCAATGACAGTAACATTAGCTGCTTACTTGGGCCACCACGTGGTTTGTACTGCTGTAACACTGAACAAGATGACTGAATAAAAGAGACAAATTAGATCTGTTCTCCGATCAATTCGGTGGAGATTTGCTGAGGTAACCAAAATTGGAAAACAATCTTAAGGGCAAGGGTAGGCGAGAAGGTAAGATGAGCGGGGTTGCGGTGATAATTTGCTGATGCTGACAAATGCAGCCCTCCTCTTCCTACCAACCACCAAGCAAGACTTTCCATGTCAGACTTTCCGAACCAAACCTTAATTTACTCCAGTGATGTAATTCGTGTAAATTCCCTAATCCATGTAGAGTTGTTTACCGAGCCAAAGAATGCTTTATTTCATATTTTTACTACTAGCCAAGATCAAAAATCTGACTTTTTTATTTTTAAAAGTGGCAAACTTTCCCATTGAGAATAACTAATTGGATTTGACATGTGATTATCTTCAACTTGAGTTCACAACCAAGCCATTTGTTCTATGCAGTTTTAGCCTGGTTACTATTCATGTTACAATGTTAAATTTCATCTTTGGTCCCAAGGTTCTACAAGTAGGATAGTCATTTTCCCAAAACCTAAAGTCGTAATGAAGAAGTTTTGAGGCTTCCACCGACAGTATATACAGTAAACCATAACAACATAATTTCCTCTATGCTAAGATAAGTGTGTGTCGATTATAAACAAGTAATATCACTTACTAAAGATTATTTTGGTTTTCACACATCTACATTTGTGCATTCTTGTTGTGTTGTACCCCTGACTAACTAACCCCTGTGACAAACCACAGGTTTCAGTTTGAATTAGCACAGGGTGGATTTCTGCTGCTGTCAGCATTTGGGGTTTTGTGTTGGTGTGTCTGTCTGTTAAATTTATCCATCTGTCTGCCTGTCTAACTTCTGTACAAGCCATGACACATAACCAGAATACTTTTTTTTTTTTTTTTAGTTTTCAGCATCTTAGTAGCAGAAGCAGCTTTACAGATGTGTGCTCTGTTCTGTAAAATTAAATTTGCAATGAAAGTCAAATTTACAAACACAGGATCTTACGCACCTTAAACACAACAAATCGTACAAAGGCACAAACATCCACATCTGCATGAGCAAACAGTGCAGACACAGATAAGTCAGGCTCAGTGTATCATTTGAAATTGAGTAGATGAGTAATCATTAAACATGTAGGTAAGAATTAAGCTTTCAGTGATACAACTACGTATGTAGTTAAATGATCAAATTTGTTTCCAAATTAATCAACTTTATTATCACCTTTTCTCATGTGATAATAATTGCACTTACAAACTACTCTTTACACTTGATATTGACCTAGGAATGCGGTTATTCTATATATGTTACTCTATGTGGTTGAGAAAATGAAAGTATTAAGGGGGAGTACAACCAGTTCTTAGTGTGTGTGTCTTACTGTGTTTGAGTTTAAGAGGTGGGCAGGATAGTTCCTGTGGCTATAAGGTGCTAAACATGAACCACAGCTTTTCATTTGTTGAAAAGTCCAACTGGGGGCCTTTCTCCATCTCTGTCCCCTCTATTTTCTGTCATCACTCTGCTGTCACACATTTCAAAGATGTTTCAGACCAAAATAAAAAAAAAAGGAACATATACTTAGCTCCTGTGCTTCTCAGACCTCCAAAATGTATGAAACTGTATGAGAAGTTTAGTTCTTAACCTGCTCTAAGCATACTGCACATTTTGAAGAGTGATTTGTGTAGTACACACATTTCTTACAACAAAGATGTTTCATTTGTCATGTATTATCATTTGAAACTATAAGCAAATGAAGCAGAATCAGTGGGGCTCAAGACCACAGTGCATCTGCATACTGCACAGACACGTACACACTCATGCACAGTGACTGAACTACAACCGAGATGTTTTCTATTGACTCGTTGAATCTGCTCTCACCCACAACATCCCCTGTCCTCCTCCGCCCCCCCCCCACTCTTTACTGAGAAACATTGACCACACGACCGCAGGCTGTTTGCAGGCTATGTAGATTTCAGGTAAGACTTTCTTGTCATGGAACCTACCCATGATCGCTCGCTCTCTCACACACACACACACACACACACAAACACACACACACACACACACACACACCTGGCAGCATAATAAAAGTGAGGGGTTGTCAGAGAAGTGGACAGAGAGACGACAGACGCCGACAGACAAACATCCAGACAAGATGATGATGATGATGAAGAACCCCGTCGTGCTGGTGGCCTGCACCTTGCTTTTCTCATCCCTCGCTGTTCTGGCATCTCTGAGTAAGCTGACTAAACATAACTTTTTTTTCTTAAGTAAGAAAAAGGAAAATCTCCTAACTTAATATCTCTGCTTGAGAACAATTAAGTGTTACCTCGTCTTTTTTCCTATCGGGTAAAATGGTAAATGATACTGTTCCTTACTTTAAAAGTTAACAAGGTTTATCATGTCTGATTTCTGAGTTTTGGGATGAAAAAGGTTCCACATAAGCCCCCTGAACCTAGTAGTAAGTTATTTATTAAATTAAAATAAGATAAAAGTTATCAATACACATTATGAAATGCGTCAAAAGTTGGGAGAAAATGCAAATTCATGCATTTTAAAATATACCTGCTTGTTTCAACACTCTTTATGTGTTAACCGGCCTCTAAAGGCTCCACATGATAAAGGGACAACACACAAAAAAGTTCATTTTATTTTTATTTTAGTGGATTTGTGTTAAATCCCACTTTGCCTCTCTCTCTCTCTTTGTTCCGTCTGTATCGTGGCGTCACAGACAGCTTCGGTCCGGATAAGTGCTGCTTTGACTTCGTCTCTAAGCCCCTCCCTAAGAAGAAGGTGGTGAACTACAAATACACAGATAAACTGTGTCCAATGGAAGGTGTCCTGTGAGTAACTTATCTCAGAATCAAGTTTAACAGCCTTGTTTGTTTAAAAATATAAAAAAAAACATTTCTCTCATGTCTTTAGTAGCTTTTGGTATATTCATCCACAGTGTTGAGAACAAATACACGACACGATTCACACTTACACACAGCTAAACAAGGACAACAAAGCTGCACAAAGTTTAAGCACACACACACATGCTGTAACCATTATGTACAGGCATGCAAGTATGAAAACAGACCTCAACAAATAGTAACAAATACACAGCATCTACATGAGTTCATATGTTAATATACATTTATCAGAAACATTTTTTAAAGAAAAACGCCAAACTCTCTGTCACAGAAAACTGACACTGACAACGATCTTTGTCTCCGTTTAAGCTTCACGATGTCAAGTGAAAAGGAACTCTGTGTCAACCCGTCTGTGGTGTGGGTCAAGAACATCATCGAGGCCAAAGAAAAAGCTGAAAAAGCTAGAAAAGCAGACAGCTCTTTGTCCAAGGAGTCCGCCTGACCCAGCGTGTTTTATAACACTGCACTTTGAAGCGGCGGTGTTGTGGAAACCTGTGGTTTATCGTCATAGCTGCCTCTATTTTTATATAGATTATTTTTCTATTATCTTAAAAATAAATTCTTCTGACTTCTTTTTTATTATTTGTTCTTTCGTCTGTTTTGACGTGTTTTCAAGGGATGTATTGAAAGATTATCTAAGATCTTTTCTAATGAATCATGTACTAAAATTATTCTCTGACATTAAATAAAAAAATTAAATATATGTTTTATTATTATTTTCTCTTCATTTTGATTTACCATGTAAGACAAACTTTGAACAGAAAGAATGAAATTCGACATTACCGTCAGTTTATACACATGAAATATCTGTTGCAACATCAGAATTGATGTGGTTTCTCACTGAAAAAGCCACAGGAAACTCACATCTGCACCACAAAGGCTTAAAAGTCAGGCACAAACAATCAGATTAAACAGATGAGTAAATTGGGCTTTGGGGAATTAGTTAAAAAAAAACAAAAAAAAAAACACCACGTTCTTTAAATTCTGTGTAAAAGAGTGTAAGTGAGTATGTCAGCATTCCTGTATCTTCAGTTTAGTGTCTGATGCAGCTCTGTGTCCAGCAGATGTCGCTCTTCTCTCCTTTTCACATTCTCTAAAGTTCAAAACTGTCTCTTAGTGGTTTCTAATGCTCTAGGTGCAGCAAAATGAGGACTTCTTTAATCACATTTGTAATCGCACTCTGAGGAACGAAAACTCAGTGAGATGGTGTTTGAAGGATCACAATTCAGTTCTTTAAATCAGCTAAACCACAGTATAGCCAGTTATGTGTAAAGCCTACAAAGTGATAACTAAAACCCCTTCAGATGGCTCCCGTCTGGAGTCAATGCAAGACTGAAACACACTCAAGGGAAAATATCCTGTATCATGACATTTAAGACAATGTAAAGCGGGTCTACTAATCCATCCCCAGCTCCTCCAGTCTGCATGTCAATGTGTCCTTGGCAAATTGCTCCCGATGATGTACCATCGGTTTGTATTAGAGAAGCTGAATGTGTGTGTGTGTGACCGGGTGAATGTGACCTGTGCTGTGGTGGCTGCCTATGAGTGGTGGTTAAGACTAGAAAATCGCTAGATAAAGTCTCATTCCCATTGCGCTTACTTTGATATTTCAAGACAAAGTGACCTGAAAATCATCTCTTGCCCCAGAACAACACCTCAGATGACGTTGATAGAGTGACATCATCACCCTTAAATAGTTTCAAACCCATTTTCATGTCCCGCCACCCTCCGAACCACTTCATATGTGTGTGTGTGTGTGTGTGTGCGTGTGTGTGTGTGTGTGTGTGTGTGGATGTGTGGATGTGTGTACATACACGATCTTATGAGCACAATTACTCAATAAGAGGTCATGATAAAAGCTTTGTTCTCACACCACAGGTGACCCATTAGAGGAGATGGTCTGATTAGATTCTGGAGGACCTTGCTGAACAGATTTGCATATTAATAAGGAAAAGAAATCAGGCGGGAGATGGAGCCGCTTAGTGCTTCTTGTTTGTAATTGTGATGATGTTTTTCAAAGCACCAAACACATTAATCAATAGAGTGAGTTCTCAGCATATCAGGGGCTAAATGCCAAAAGAATCAAGTTAATGAATACAACATCAAAAGCCATATCTCACTTGATCTTCTGTCATGTTGTATTTGCAGCAATAAAATTAATGAGACCAAGAAGAGAGCCTCAGAGATGTCCTATTTAATTTGCATATAAGCATGTCCGCCAGCGTGACCTACCTGTAGCAGAACAAAACTAGGACACAAGCAAGCAGCCTGAGGTTTTATAGTCACCAGTGTTGGAAGAAGTGTTCAGCTGCTTTAGGTAAAAGTACTAATACATTAGTGTAAAAATTCATTACAAGTAAAAGCCCTTCATTACAGGAGCTATTTGTATGTTGTGAGTTCAGCATGGCTTTTTATACAGTCAGGTAGGTTAAGTTCAGGGTTTCACCAACCTCTGCGTCAGGCTGCTTCTGTAAATCTGGGGTGTTGTAGGATGATTAAAGGGAGGGGGAAGAAGAATAAATAAATTTCTGCTTCACAAACTTGCATTCATTTGTGGAGTTTTCTTTAATCATTGCTTTTTGGTGAAATAATGGATCATTTTTGACTTCTTTGGGCTTTGTTACTTGTCTAAACTATAAAGTAGACATGAAACATCATGTCATCATGTCAAACACAACAAGGGAAGGGTATCATATTCAATTGGTCACAAAAATACACCTTTTTTTGTAAGGAAATCAAATATATGACCAGTATTGTATCACAAGCAAACAGATTACCCAACAACAAGCATATAAAATAATAACAGTCTTATTCTGCAATCCCACTAAGTGTACATAGCAAAATTCTTGTACACATTTGATGCTTCTCCTTTAAACTTATTGACCCAAAACAGGCAAAAACAGGTAAGTTTAACCCCCCCCCCAAAAAAAAACGTATATCTCAGTAACCCTTCAAAGTTCAACGAATAAGGAAAAAATGAAATAAAATAACAATATGACAATAAATGAGTGTACTCAAAATGTCCTACCGCCCTTGCCTCACTGATGACTGTTGGTTGAGTGGAGATGGCGACTTCCTGGGAGGACCCTGAGAGGCAGATGAGATGGATATGTGGCTGGACGACAGGACGAGATGGTGGACACAGGAAGGCCAGACGATGGCTCTACTTTCAACAGAAGATCTCTACAAAACCAGTCTATAGAACGTGCAGGAAAATTATTCACAAGTCCTCATAAATCATCATAAATGTCCATTGATCTGTTTAAATAAAGTCACTGCTGTAAAATGTTTTTCCTATTTTTCCATTAACTCAAACAAATGTAACACAATACAACCCATGGTATACCTCAAAGTACATTAACTCAACATAAACACATGAAAGAAATTAAACAGTGTTTCTCTAACAGACCTATTTACTGTACTCAAACATGCTTTTAGAAGACTTCATACGTAACGTAGCTTAGCTTAGCTTAGCTTAGCAGCATGAAAGCTTATGCTAGCCACGCACAATGGCTGCACTCCACATGATAATGAAGTATAAAACACACAATTTACCTGACTAATGCCTGAACAGGACTCGCAAAACAATTATCACACACTCATGATAAAGTTTTATCCACTTCACAATTATCCCAACTGGTTTTGATAGAAGTACAGAGCTTTTATCTACTCTGTTTATCTGCATGCATCATTTCCCAGTGCAGTTTGCATGCTAAAGTAGCAGACAATGAGTTACAAATGCTAACTCACAGGTATATGAAATGTTCGCAGTCTAAGCATCCATAGGCGAAGTCACAGCTCTTTCATCAACTCTTGTCTTCAGCATCAAGCATAAACTTACAACTAATTGTCATCCAGCTCTAACTTTGGCTAAATCCAGCAGGTGGCTCAGGTAGCTCCTGATCTCTTGCTGGTCTGCATCGCATCGAGGGAAAAACAAAATAAGCTTTTAGAGTAAGAGAGTCACTCTAAGCACTTTTTGCGCACAACCTATCAACCCCATTAAAGGGACAGTGACATAATAATAATCTGGGGCTAAACTACCCTCGTTACAAATACATCCTAATTTATTTGTTGATTATATCTTATTTTATTGATATGAATCTACAAAGTAACTCAAGCTATCAAATAACCATAGGGCAAATGGAAAGAAGTGGGAACATAAAGCAGCAGAAAATTAAAATGCTCAAGTAATGTACAAGCACCTCAAACTTGTACTTAAGTACAGTTTGTGAGTAAATCTACTTAGTTATTTCCACAGCTGAGTATTTTAACTGGCTTCATATTGAATTCATCAGAGATATAGAAAGAATCATTACTTTCTGTGCAGCGATGTCTTCAATGGCTGTTTCTGTCTGTCAACCAAGACCTAGGGATGTGGTTTTTGTTTTGTTCATAAAGAGCTGAAAGAAAACACAATCAGCTGTGATTCACTTGTATGGGGGATTCATGTGGTGTTCAGGGAGACTGAGAGATATAAAGACGAGGAAAAACAGAGAAACATGAAAGGCAGAGTCTGCAGATGAAAGGCAAGAATAAAGGAGTGTGTGAACAGTCACTGTGGTGATGATCCAGTCCAGGGCAAGGGACACAATGGGATGCCATTAGGAACACACACACACACAGATATATAAATAACCAGTGTGTGAAGTCAGCTTTTCATGACAGATGAGATCAATATAAATTAAACCTTGAGAGAATAAGCATGCGTTTGTGTGTGTGTGTGTGTGTGTGTGTGTGTGTGTGTGTGTGTGTGTGTGTGTGTGTGTGTGTGTGTGTGTGTGTGTGTGTGTGTGTGGTGTGTTTGTATAACGTGCCGTGTGTGTGTGTGTGTGTATGTGCAGCAGTGCGAGAGGATGGAGAAATACTCAAAAAGATGGCAGGAGAAGTGAGGATCACGCACTTGAATCTGTAAGAACCTTTTTTTAGCAAGTGTCACAGCATGTGCGAAGATGCGTGCCAGTCTCTCTCTCACACACACACACACACACACACACACACACACACACACACACTTTGCTTCAGGAACAGAAAACAAATGAAAGGTAATGACAGACGACAATTACAGCCAACAAACAAAAGCAAACAAACAAGTTAGTTAGTTGTTTCATATCACACACTGCTGCATATGTCTTGCACACACACACACACACACACACATACAATCAGAGGCCTATTAGGATACTCACTGTTAAGGGAAATTAGATTGTACATAACCAGTCTAATGTCGGTCATTTATCATTCCTCTAATAGAGGTAAATTTCTCAGTCCCTGGTGTAACTCTCATAACCAAAATGTCACGGTAACATGTCTGCCATATAACTTTTCCCGTCACGTTGTCATGGTAATAAGCATCAGCAGATTACAAGGCATGCTTTTGGCTGAACAATCCGATGGTGATTGGGTTGAGTGGCCCAGATTTCTTAGAGTCCTGCCCTGTCAGACACACGATAACGCTGCTTTGCATGACAAGAAAAAGTAAAAAATACCTTCTACAGCTGCTGAATTGTGTGATTCAGATTAAGAGGAAATTAAAAGTGGGAATTGAACAAGAGAAAGAAATGGAGAGATGAGAAAGGGAGGCGGGGGTGGGGTACAAGAGAAAGGGCCAAAAACCTAGAGATCAATATCTTCTGTATAATTACCTACAGCTTTCTGGGTTGCTAGGAAACCAAATAGAGATGAGAGAGAGGGAAAGATGAGACAGACAGAGAGAGGGAGAGAGAGAGAGAGAGGCCTATACAAAGGCTGAGAATAATTTCAGGGTTTTCAGAGTTGCTCTGATTTCTGCTCTTTTGCTTGTGTTTGTTTCTTTTTCACTCAATATTTGTCTTTTGTTGGTGTAGGAGGTTATATATTCACACAGATGAGCAGCGATTAGACTTGAAAACATGCTTTATAATAGCACATTATCATTTCCATCAGATTAAATGAACCATCGTTTGAAACTGGGGACATTTGCAAATGTCTTTTTGTTCTCTCTGTCTATTTCTCCTCATCAAACGCTTGTTCAGTTACAGTAAATTTCTTGTCAATGTACAAATGGATGAAATAAATGTGCACAAACAACAATGTAATCTATTAGCATTAAGTCTGTATGTTCATCCTGCTCATTAATTTAAATGACAGTTTAATGCATTTAGTCATTGAGTGCATTAGCTTTGATTGATGCACCAAATTATGGCTTATTGAATGTGATCTCATTGAACTGTAACATAAGATTGGTGCACTGTTCCTTTAAATGGAGGGAGAGGATGGGGAACGCAGGGAGGGAGGGAGAGAGGGACAGGGAGAGGGAGGAGAGAGGGAGAGAGAGAGAGAGAGAGAGAGAGAGAGAGCGAGGGAGATGACCTAGTAGAAAAAGGGGGGTTGTAATGTGCACCTTCTCTTCTCTGTCTTGGAGAGGTGTGTGGGTTGAGCGTGATTTTACGGAGAGAGAGAGAGAGAAAGAGAAAGAGAGAGAGAGAGAGAGAGAGAGAGAAAGAAAGAAAGAAAGAAAGAAAGAAAGAAAGAAAGAAAGAAAGAAAAAAAAGAAAGAAAAAAAGAAAGAAAGAAAGAAAGAAAAAGAAAAGTGACTTCAGAGGAAATTTCTGAAAAGTGCTTCATATCTTTTGAGGATTTTTCTGAAGACATTCAAACAAGGAGGAAGAGTCACTGATCAGCATCCCTGGAGAACATGTTGGACATGGAAACAAATGGCAGACACCACTGACGTCTGTTGAGCCAGTGTGGTCACTTGAAGTGAGGACAAGTCAACAATCTTGAAGAAAAAAGTCTCACCTTACTTCAGACTGTTTCTTGCTTGGACATCAACAACTACAAGTATGAGGTGACTTCTCCAGAGGAATTTAGAAGATAGCAGCTCTCCAGGGTAGACTGAAATTTGCTTGAATATTCATGAAAAGCTTTTAGGCACCAAAATATTCCTTGGATAAATCTGAAGGTTTTGAAAACTGACTTTGAGAACCTCCTCTGGACTAGAATTAAGCATTTCTGGTTGTTCTTTGGACATATATAGCTTTTTAAAATCCATTTAACTGCAGAAACTGCTTTCAGACAACGTGTTGATATTTTTATTTATTTGCTACTGAATGTGACATAGGTGGTGACTTGTGAGCCAACTGTTTTCATGTACTGCAGAATATTTTAGATAATCCTCAGGGGATTCAATCAATCACCATTGATTATATTTGCCTTCTACTGAATCACTAATAATCTAAATCCAGAGGGAGAGGGGCTGGGAGGAAAGCAACCCTCATTTATCACCAGCTAGTCTTAGTCTTTGTTCATAGAATAGAAAGATGGCACAGAAAGAAGGAGGAACAGAGCAGGGGCGTGTTAAGACAGGGGACAATCTGGGGGCCAAAGCCATGGCCGGGGCCCCTACAGCAGGCGGAGGAGTGGTGGTGGAGGTCAGGGAGAAGAAGGGACCTCTGCGGGCTGCAATACCCACAATGCCTTTCCCTCTTGCTGTCATCTGTCTGTTTCTGAACACCTTCATACCTGGACTCGGTAAGTTGAGAATCAGGCTTTCTTCTTCTCTTCATGTGTAGTTCATCATGAATTCATCTTTTTTTGTGTGTGTGTGTATAAGGTGGCTGGAAAATGAGGGGCCATCTGTCTCCTCCTCCTGATTTATAACACCTTAGACTTTCTGTGTTTCTCTGTATTAAAGAAAGAAAAACGCATAAATAAAGTTACTCAGTAAAAATTGAAGAGGGCATATGTGAGAGGAAGTAAACATGCAGAGTTGAAAACAGTGAAATGAGACACTGAGTGGTCATGAAACTGGAAGACCCACATGGACATGAGGAGTTTATAGACATGATGCAAGCAGGCGTACCGGCAAACAACAACTTAAACAAACATGAAGGAGAAAAAATTAAATAAATAACACAGAGGACTGAAGAGTGACCATAGAAGCTGCATGGAAAGTTTGCAGGCACTGATAAGTTCAAATGAGTTCCACAGGCCACTAAAGGGAGTTATTTTTACTCATCCTCGAAAAAAACTACTACTATAACTGTAGAGGACAGTCTCAATCTGCCTATGTGAGTATATAAATATATTTATATTTGTATATTTTCCTGTATGCCTGTATACACGTGTGTGAAAAGAGGTAAGAAAGATAGTGAGACCCCTCAGTGTTAAAATAAGAGCATCAGGGTGTAAATACACGCAGCCTCAGTCTGGCAGGTGCTAATGCACAGTAAATGTGGTGTCTGGATGTCATCACAGCAGGTAGAAATGTCACTCTGGGTATAAAAATCCATCACAGGTGTCATCATTATGGGCAGCAGCATTATCACAGCAGGCAGAGACATCATCACTGTGGGTAGGCTCAACATTTTTCCATCATTATTACGGGTGGAAAACCTGATATTGTTGTGTTATGTTGCAAACTTGGCAGCTTGTAGTTCGTTGTAGAAGACACTGAAGCAATATCAGGAAAGCACCTAAAAAACTGTACATAGTCATCCATGTGTTTTACTAATAACAAACTGATATTGTGGAACATTTCAGTCATCACCCTTGGTAGCACTTTAAAAAAAATTAGTTATTTACCAGTTTGTAAGGAGAAACTGATGTCCTCCGTGTTGCCTCCAAGAGGATCGCAGAAGATGATCCACTCTGCAGCAAAGACACAGGTTGAATTAACTAGGCACCTCCCCAGCTAATCTCTGCAATAGTTGTAGTTTTTGTGCTCAAGATCAACATATACAACACACAAGATACACAATGTCATCCAGATGCAAATTTGAATTGTATCATCTACTCAGTGTAAAACTCTAATTATTACCTCTGTGAAGGAAGTTATGTTTCTGTCCAACATTGTCTCGTTTGTCAGATATTTAGCAGATTATCCCAAAAACTGTTCAAAGATATACAGTAATACGCAGTAGACAGGAAGCATTAATTAGTACCATGTTACCATTTATAAATCCATTTTTTTTCGATTTTTCATAAATAAAATCTTTAGTCATAGCACATATTTTGATGACCCTGAAAAATAGTTTGTTGTTGGGTATTTCATTTTGTTTTTGTATGACTAACTGAATTGTTGTTGCCAGTTTTAAATAATTTTTTAATAAGTCTTGAACACTTTGCACAACTTTGCATGATGAATTCAGATGGCTGTAACTCATTAGTGCCAAGTCTGACTCATTCACATTATGCACAGTCCCCCATGTAGAAAGACTTTAGTGACTCTCTGAAAATCCATCTGATTGTCTCACTGTGTGTATTTTGGTGCAGATACGAATCCAGATGAAAATCGTTTTCTAATATTAGGACATCTCTTCCTTCAGTCTGACTGTTTGTGTTTCCACTCGGCTGGATGTCTGTGTATAGTAAGATTATGTAACATCTGGTGGCTTAAGACATACACACTGTATAATGTACTGTATCCACTGTTGCCAAATCCTGTTCACACTAAAACAATATTGCTACAAAAGCGCATATAAACATAAATCATGAGTTATACCCACTCACATCGGGTTAGTGCACGCACTAAGACACACACAGGCGCTCGCACTGTCATCTAGATTAGTTCAGTGCTTCTAAGGCGAAAGCAGCAGGACATAAAATGATAACACAATGTGCAGTTTATTTTGCGAACAGCAGAACATGTAGCAGTTAAGATCATGTCGGGCAAAGAAGAAAAAGAGAAACAGAGAGATACAGAGAACAGAAATCAAACAATCTCAGATGTTTTTCTCTGATGGAAGGCGAACGTCTCCATAGCAATCACTCAGAGCTGAGTCCATCACCAAATAACCTATGATGTGTCCTCTCCGCCCTTTGACTCTGATCTGTTGGTCATTACTCTCCAGGGAGTCATTATGTGTGTGTGTTTGTGTGTGTCCTCTCGTCTTCATCTCGTCCCTCTTCTCTCTTTCTTTGTGCTTTCTCTGTTATGTTTCACCGCTGAAAGAAGGTTTCCAAATTCTCTGATCTTTTCTCTAATCAATATTTTTTTCTTTCTCTCACCTTCACACACATTCATCCTTTTTACTTGCTGCAACCTTTTCAAAATAAATGTTGAATTATTAACTGTTTGAAAATGTCACAAACAGCTTTATAATAAAACAGGGTCATCAAACACATACCCCCAAATACTCTGTTTACCCCCTTTTGGCTGAAATTTTGCCCTGTCTTAAAAATTGTCCCCAATATGTATGAAAAGCGCTATGGCTCATTCAAGTGTGTGCGAGTGTGTGTGTACAGTGTGAATGTGTGTGTAGGTTTGCCTGAATGCCTTGACATTTCATTGAATAGCTGCGGCCAGTTGCCATGACAACGCTGACTGAAATGAACACAATGCATGCGGGATACGGTGGGATACGGCTCTGACTCTTGTCGGAGCAGAACAACATATCATGCAGACATGCAGACACACAGGTGTATGAATAAACACACACAAACATGCACATGCACAAAGAGTACACGCACAATGACAAGTAATGTAGGACACTTTTATAGCACAACAGATAGCACCTGGGTCCTTGGTATTGCTTTATGTCTGTAACACTGCAGTGGAAAGGGCCTGTGTGCAGAGCAACAGTTACTGGGTCACTGAAACATAAATACTCACCTGAACTGGAAATACTAGGCGGTCAAAACGCAAGTCACATTTTCTGAAGATAACACTGTTAAGATGACATAGTTTGTGTGTAATATAACTCATTCATTTTTCAGATTTCTGTACATTTATCCTTTTGTCCATTTGTCCAGTATGTGCCAACAAGTCCTCCAAATGAAATGACAAAGACAACATTGCCATTTCAAAAATAAAACCATTTTCTAATCCTAAAACGTCATGTTTAAGGTTTGGTAAGGTTTAGGTGCAAACATGACTGGGGTTGCGGTTAGCGCGAAGATCGTGATTTGGGTTAAAATAACCAATTGTTATGTGCCACTGGTCAGCAGGTATCACTAACTGTTACCATGGAAACATGCCACACACTTGTAAGTTAGCCTGGTTAACTGGTCTGATTTTGCAAATGGAGCATTGTTTCAATAAAAGAATCAATCTTATCAATATTTATTATAGGCTTTGAAACAACGCAGTACGTGTTGTCTTTTTCGTGGGGATGTAAATTTCTCCAAACATGTGATTCCTGTCTCTGCTGTCTATGACATACCTGACGTTTTGTAAAAATTAGAAAACTACAAATTATTAATTTTTTGTCATTTGATGCGATTGGTCAGCAGATTTATCACTGATTGTTACCATGGACACATGACTCTTAGTTGAAAATTAGCGTGGGGGTCAGGTGGTGAACTTTTTAGGCCTAAAATAAGTCAGTCTTTATTTTTGGGAAACTGTCTAATTTGGAGGAGACTAATCTAATAGCAGAATGAAGACTTTATGAAACCTGCCCCTGCAGTTTCATTAAATGAATTATTCAACACTTTGGGAAATCTACATGTTTACCTTCATGCTGAGAGCTAGATGAGAAGATCGATATCATTCTCATATTAAGGCTACCAGTGGAGAGGTGAACCACAGAGGTGCATGGATGGATGCTTGCTGTTTTCCCTGCTTCCACTCTCAACGCTAAGCTAAATCAACTCTTAGCTCTATCTCCATACGTAAGGCGTGAGAGACATGAGCGTGGCATCGATCATCTTGTCTAACTCTCGAAAAGACAGCGAACAAGAATGTGCCACAGAATGTTGAATTATTTAAGTTTAGGCGACTAACAGTACTTCATCATGGTGAAGAAAAGATTGTGCTTATGATTAAAAGAAACAAATGTTGATTGGTGATTCTCAGTGTTGAAAGTCAAGTTAACTGAACCTCAAACATGAGGAAAAAAAGTATGTTTCCACATCCAGAGCTCTACATCAAGTTGGAGAATTCAAACTGACAACCTCCTTCTCTCGGGCGCACTTGTTTTAACGACACATTAATCCTGCCTGACGTTATGTTGCCAGAGCCTTAGATTGTCCCTGCAATGTAATGAGGAGTTCAAATCTATTGGTGATAAACACAGAGGCTGTTAGTCAGTGCAGTGTAAACTGATCAATGAGCTGTCGGCTTGTAAATAATTACACATACTTATTGTGAAGCAAACTACAGCTCACTAGCTGTGTTGTGATCTTTGCCATAAGAGGACTGGAAAGGGAGAGGCTTTGCCACAGAGAGCTAAACTGAATATATGATTTAGCCCCTGAGTGCGTGGGAGGCAGAGGTCACGTGTGTGTGTGTGGTGTGTGTGTGTGTGTGTGTGTGTGTGTGTGTGTGTGTGTGTGTGTGTGTGTGTGTGCATGTGTGTGTGATTGATGGTGAAGATATTTGAGACACTGCATCAGTTTACTGGGTCGTGTTGAGATCTCGCCTCTGGATGCTTGTGTGTGTGGTTGTGCGTGTGGTTGTGTGTGTTGTTGTGTGTGTGTGTAGTTTCGCTCTAACTTGACCCTTACTTTATGGTACATCCCACATCCCCACACACATTGTGTATTGAACTATAACTCTCATCAACACTTAGAATCAGGTGCACATATTG